TTTGCTTGGGGTACGACAAAGTACTTGTCTTGCATGATGAAGCTGTCTCTTGGCATGTCCTTGACTAGTCTTCCGCAGATTGTCTCGCTCATGCCTGTGCCGTAGACTTGGGCGGTGTCGATGAAGTTGACTCCTTTGCTAACGCAGTGCTTCCATGCTGCAACGACATGGGGCTCTTCTTCGGGCTTCCAGTGCCAGGTAGAAGTGTCTCCCCAAGGCCAGGCGCCGATGCACAGTTGCGGAGCGTACACATCTCCGTTTTTGCCTTTGTATGTGACCTTTTGGTCGGCGGTTGGGATCCAGCCTTCTGGCATGACGGCTGCGAGACCATCAAAGGAAGGGTCGACTGGGTTGGGCTTGGTGTGCTTGCCGCTGTGGATGCCAGTGACAGCTGACATCCCAGAGGATAGACCAGCTTGAAGGACGTGCTGCATCTTTGCGATTCGATAGTACTGGAATTGTAGTACGACAAAAGAATCTTGCTTGAACCTGAAATCGAGACAGCGCGTCTTGATATCTATTGTTATACTCGCGCAGCATGTAGATCTACGACACGGCAAGTCGTCGGCATCATGGCGAGCACCTTGTATGATGCGGCGATGATTCTTACATTCATTTCCGGCCTATACGCAGCGGTTGTTCCTGCATGGGTACCACAAGTTCGGGAATAGATCCATAAGACCCTGATGTATAGGCGGCAAAACGGCGTGATGTTTGAAGTGGATGTCGGGATGATGCGCGGGTGATGTCATGCCTCGACCACGTTCTGTTATGTGGGTACTCACGACAGAGACCTGACAAACCAGTACCAGAAGTGTAAGAAACGTCTTGATATTTTCCGGAAGCATATACTGGGACCTAAATGTACGTTCAGCGATCGTCGTTGGTAGTAGCGGTCGTTCCACGGTGGTGGCCGGGACCTATTTCCCGAAAAGGCAGTCGCGTTCACCTGTCACGACAGTTCCTGAAAGACAACGCGCATGACTCTCGATGTCTTGCGTTTTGCGACGCGTCGAGTTAGCATCTGTAGGCAAACTGGACACTGTGGCGAGCTGTAAAAGGAACAAAGCGAGATATTGAGGTGGACTACTTCGTAGCCTGTGAACGTAAAAGCTTAATTCATATATACTGAAAAACATAAAGTTTTACAAGATGCTGTTGTCCGCACATGTAAATGCGCCGTTGACATCTGTTGTGGCAAATGTGTTCATCAAAGCGCGGATACTGGCGTACATGCCAGGTACCATCATGAAGAGCGTGACCGACATGATGAACACGTTGAGAGCGGCCGTCGCGAGCTTCTTTGTACTTGATCGCCACTTGCCGTTCCAGTTGAGATGGAACCAGAAAAGCACAGTAACACCCCAGGTGAACCATGATAGCAGAAGCGCGGCGGAAATGTTGAGAAGGGAGCTGAACACCGGAATAGCGTTGGCGAGGATCCACACGACGACCCAGAAGAGGGTAACCGAGAAGAGCCAGACAGCCCATTCAGTCTTGTTACCGACGTCACCCATTGCGATGGAAGCGCGGCGGCCACGCGACGATCCGGAAGCGCTAGATGAGACTTCAGCGTTGAAGCTTCCATCTTTCTTGGCCTGGCGAGTGCCGATCTCGCGCAGGAAGAAGACGTGCAGGTAGCGCGCGGCGGTCATGCCGAACACCAAACCAGTGCCAAGGAGTCCAACAAAGATGATTCCGTAAGCGACCTTTGCCATCAAGGGTTGGAGAGATCCGAGCGCTGGCGAAGCGACGGATTCACCGGAAAGGGCGTAGACGACCGCAGCGACGATGCAGTAGATGGTGGTAGTGGCGCACTTCTCAATGGTGACAGCGCGTGGGTAGTCGCGAGAGGGGTCCTCCATCTCAGCAAGGACAGTCGGAAAAGCTTGATTGCCGCTGAAAGCAAACGCGATGTTCAGGAACGCAGCGACAGCTTCCGTGAACGTGGGACTTCCAATAGCTTTCAGGTTGAGAGGTGCTTCCGCATTGCGGGGACCCTGAACACCAAGCACAATCATGACGAACATGACGGCCGAGAAGATGGAGATGGTGCAGGGCCAGGATGCCCATGACACGAAACGCATACTACGCGGTACGCACATGGCCCACATGGCAATGGCCGCGACGACCGAGAAGGCGACCGTGCAGGTCGCGTGTTCGCTGACAGTGTTGAGACCGATCGAGATAGTGACCACCGCCGATGCGCTGATGAGAGCCATGTTGATGAGGAAACCAATGGCAAAGACGGCTTCGAGCCAGGGACCGCCGAGGACGCGTCCGTAGTCGACAATGTTGAGCATGTAAGGATACTTGCGCCAGTACTGAACGAGATTATAGGCAGTGTACAAGCTAAGCATTCCCATACCGACAATGGCAATGATACCAGGGAAGAACCCAAGGGTGTTCAGAGCGGCTGGCAATGACAAGATACCGATGCCGATCTCATTGGTCATGAAGATGATGACAGTTTGTGTTGTGTTGAGTTTCTTCGTTCCTGCACTGCTTGTGGGGCGTTTGCTTGCATTCTGGATATCGGATACGTCGCCTAGGTTCGTGTCGTGTTCGGAGGAGGTTTCGAGCTTTTCGGGGTCTCCGTGCTTCTTTTGTCGCAAAGGGTCTTCCGGATCGTGAGTAGGGTCTGCTGCAAGGGCTACTGTAGGTCGCTGGGCAGATACGGGCAGATCATTGAGAGCTTTGGGCTTGTTGTCGAGGTCGTGTGTATGTTGCATGGGAAGGTTGCCGTGGGCAGAAGAGACGTCTTTGTGATCCATGGTTAGAGGGAGACCAAGCACTTACGCCTGCATGTACCGAGTGAGTGTGGTCGAGACGGGGAAATCGAAGTGACAACGAAGATGTGACCAAGAAACGAACTTGTCAATGGAGACGTTCGATGAGGGCTAAGTTGAGAGGATAAATAGATGCGGGAAAGAACGATAGACTGATCACAGCGCAGCGTGGAGGAAACCAAGGACATGGAGAATTACGTATTAACGCACATCGCACGCGGACCAAGACAGTAGCTGGTAGTAGCGTATCGTAGAATGCGTCCGCACTTTAACGGGGACTGTGCACCCAATGATGGCTGGATTTGGAGGCAGGGTCTCGCGGAGGCGTGAGACGGAATGGTACTTTTATCCACTTCAGGTATGTGGGCCTCCCTAGATGCCGTATAGATGAAGCTGTTAGTAAAGGAACCGAGCTGGTGTTCCGCGAAACGCGCAACTGCGGCACGCTGGGTCCTTCCGGACGATGCGCAGCCTTCCCACGCTGCCGTTCCTATCACACGATGCAACGCGATGCGGAGAAGGGTCTTGGTGACGTCTGATGCTCATCCACGTCGGGAGCGACCGCGCTAGCGAGAGCCGCATCTGACAACGCGAGAACCGCGCCGAAGCAGCCCGGTGTCACACCCGACAGCTTGGCCGCTGTCGTCATCGGTCTGGGCATGTTGTGATGAAGTCCATCAAGCCCGAACCCTCAAATAGCCATGTGTAAGTGTGAGCGTGTCCCAGATTACAGGAACCTTCCGAGTATCCAGACGATGGACAGACGTTGATTCAGTGTGTAGGCCATTTCCGGGACGAAATGGGAAGGAACCCGAAGGATCCATCCGCGACAAGGACATGCCGAGTCGCATTGGCAGTGAATGCGAAAATTTCGCGCGGTAAAACATCGGCTGCAATCCATAATCTCATCATGTTACATCCAGTGAAAGTGAGGCACTTGGAAACCGGAGTGCACGGACGGTTGGCATGGCGGAGGAGTTGGGAGAGCCAAGACCAGTCTTATGCGATAAACTTCGACGGCAGATGTCCGCTTCGAGTGTTGATAGGTTCGCAGACATGTCCAGAGGCACTCTCATCCCATACTAGAGGCCGCGGACGAGATGAAGAACCCGGTCGAGAAACAATATCTCCTTCAATGGTCGCTGTGGGAAGACACTGAGCCGTGGAATCGGTAGATGGTCGCATAAGGTATTGAATCGAGATAGCCAACAGTACGGTTTCCATGGGTCGCAGCACATCAATCATTACTCCGGTTCCGCTGCAAGGTACCGATTTGGTTGCATCTGTGGAGTCGCATGTCGCAAGGGAGGTCGCATAGGAAGACGCAGTGTTCTGCTGCTGGCATGTCGCTTGGGAAAGATGAATCGTGTCGCTCTTGGAATAGACCTTGTTGGCCAGGAAGGCTGTTAATTCAGTCAGTAAGACGTGGGGAAGACCGAGTATCTCTCCGCGATATCTGGAGCAGGTAGGTCAGACGAGAGTATGATATTGAAGTCAGTGTGGGATGAAGTCGTGGGTATTGTCGGTTGTTGGTCGCATGGAGTAGGAGTTGACGAGAGGCCCCTATTCGAGTGGGCACGCATTTCGGGTTACGCGTCAGCTGAGTCATGCGCCTTCATTTTCCCATCTGTCGCTTCCTCATACGCGATCTTCGATCCACCGATCCTCAAAACTCGGCCACAATCGCGATCTCACACTGTGCGCTTCCTCTTCTTTCTTATCGCGAAGGATGTCTCGCGTTTCCGCACGTACTGTGCCCTCTGCAGGTTCCCAAGGTGCGGCGCAGGAGTGGCTGTGAGGCGGCTGTGAGGCGCACGGGGGCCTAATAGCCGTTCTTTCCGGGCGGGACGGCGCCAAAAAGCTTGGCCTACGACTATCATCACCATTCTCAAACCTTTCGGGGCCACGCAGGAGCGTCAAGCATGTCGACTTCCTGCTTGGCATGTTGTAGTACGCGCATGCCTTTCCCCAGGAATGACAGGAGGTGAAACGAGATCGATGGCTAGTCCCCACCTCATCTTCGACGTTGCTTCGACGGCTTCTCCATCTTGTCACCTTCCGCCGACTTTCCCTTTGCCGTGTGTTTGAGCGAGAGTCTGCCGTGTTCCCTGCTTGATCGATAATCCGCCCCCGAGATACCTGCCGCTATTCCCGTCGTTGACGAGTCACTCATTTTTGCGTCGCTTCCTCCTCTCATTCTCCACATTCACCATGATACCCCGGATAGCGCTTTCGGCGCTTTTGTACGCCTCCACCGCATTCGCAGTGTGCACCAAGCTCGAAGACTGTCCCCAGTTTGAGGCCCTCAAGACCGACGAATGCCAAACCTACCATCATTTCCTCGCCCGCGGCTCTACCTCGCCATACCCGGGCCACGTCATCGAGACAGTCGGCAAAGTGTGCAATGCGCTCAACACCAAGGAAAACCCCAAGGCCTGCGGATATGAGGATGTGCAGTACTGGGCCATGAACGGCGGAGAGCGATGGTGCATATCGTCGCACGAGGGGGCTATGAATGGCGCCGAGCAGATGAGGAACTACACTGCGAGGTGTCCGGACAGCCACCTCATTGTGATGGGTTTCAGCCAGGGTGGAAGTGTCGCGCTCGACGTCCTCGGTGGTGGTGGCGGTCCACTCTGGGGATGCACTCAGGAAGACAACCCACCCATGAACATCTCAAGTGCGCCCGGATCCAAGGGTACGACTTTAATCTTCTCTCAACTTTTAGGCCTCAACTGACATCTTCACAGTCGTAGCAGCACTTGCTTTCGGTCCCACGCGACGTTCCGCAAACCAGTCCTTCACCCACGGCGGCGGCGAGATCTCGGATGGCGGCGCACCACGAACCGCGGAGCAGAACGCCGGTCTCCAACCCTACGCTGACGCTGGCAAGCTCCGCGAGTACTGTCAGCCTGGCGACCCTATTTGCGCACCCCATACCAAGGACAAGGACATGTCCAAGCACCTGAACTACTTCGACCTGTTCGGTGACGAGGCAGCACAATGGGTCATTGACCTCGCAAAGAAAGCCGAGAGTGGAGACCGAACCTCAGGCGCGAAGAGTATGCTCCACCAGACCGTCTCGCACCCCATTGCCAACGTCTTCGTCCTGATCTTCGTGCTATTCGCCATATAGTAAGTTCTTTCCATACACTCGCAGTAGTACCATAGAAGCGCGATAGACGGAGCGGCGTTAAGAAGAAGGACTTTGGAATCATACAGAATGAAGACTTATACCTTGCAGTTTTGCAGTGAGGAAGTTCGCCGTATGGAAGACCACACGCTTCCCCATGTACACCCGCGTCAGCTCGACCGAATCCGTATGAGCACGATCAGCCCCGTTCCACCGCCGGACCCGAGTTGGACAAACACACGTTGCAGGTCTTGGGGATGCTTGGCGCCAAAGGTGTGGCTTCGCAGAGCCGCATATCCGGGAAGAGGCACCACCACACCAGCCAAGGATGTAAGGGAGATCTTTGAAGGAGAATGAAGAATGCTTGAATGCGGGACGCGCCCAATATGTACCTTTGTCATACATGCCGAAATACCCTTCAATTGTACCATACTATATGGATATAGCCACATTTAGTACCAGTCGACCGGATCGGCTAATCAAGATATATTAACTTCGCATCTGGCCCTTTCCCGCAATCTCCGTATCCCGTCCTTCCAGCGTCAGAACAGATCGTGTTGCAACGTTTCATCAGGAATAGATCTGCGTTACCAGGTGTGGCTTGATAACCCCGTATCGATGAGGGGGGTCTAGAATCCGTATGCGACACGAAGATGACCACTCCTGGCGCAGCTGTAGTGAACGCTGACGAGTATTCTGCTAATCTCCTACCTATGCTTTTTCGCCAGCAGTGTATCAATCATCACACTTCACGTCATGCACGGGGAAAGTGTAATTTTGAGCGCACCGCGAATAGCGTGTGAGCCTTTTCCTGTTACTATCGTGCTATCATACATGGGCCAACTGATGCACAAGGCACCTAAGTCTACTCCCCTTCCTCCGCATCCAAGAAGGCCTCATCGCCACTCGACTCAAACCCTTCGTCCTCACCCTCAGAGTCATCAACGTGCTCAACAGCCGGAACAAAGTCCTCCTCATCGTCGTGGTCATCGTGATCTTCCTCGTCTTGAGCATCGAGCTGGCCGGGTACGGCTCGAGCGACATGCTGACGCAAAGCCGGATCATCTCCAAGAGCGAGCTTGCGGAAGAACGGATGATTCTCCGTAAGCGGCTTGCCAGTAGTAACGAAACCCATGGGGGTGTGTTCGAAGTCTTGACCCTTGCGGCGCAGAGCAAGCCATTCGTGTACTTTACACAGAGTTAGTAAACTGTTTTCTGTTACATGTTCGGAAAATACGTACCAAAAGTCAGAGGCTTCTTTGCAAATGCATCCTTCTCCGGGTGCTGGGATAGGTTCTCATCGAGGCCAAGGTACTCCAGCAATAGGTAGTACTCATCCCACTCGAGGTAGAGACGCCCAGCGAAAATCCCCATCTCGACCCGAAGCCAGACGGGAGCTTTGAACTCTGCAGGTAGAGCCGGTATCGCATAGTAGTCAAGCTGGTTGAAGTGAAGCATCCTTCGCGTGACGGGTGCGGCATAGATGATGAGGTGGACGTTGATACTATCTTGAAGCATCTGTTGCTCTTGCATGATGTGGATGAGCTGGTTGGCTTCCTCGGGGCTAACAAGGAGTGCTTGCTGGCTGACTGTGCTCCAAAGAATCCAATGAGAGGAACGGATGTAATTGTCGTTGGGAGTGTAAACCTCGATTGTACGAGAGAACTCAGCTGAGATCCATGAACCAGATTTCATCGACGAATGGACCGTATGCTTGAGGCCTAGTGAAGTCATCCGTCCCAATACCGAAAACAGAGGTTGATAGGCATCGCTCCCAGGGACGAGACGTCCGAACTCTGCGAAATGTCGAATGTCTTCGTGTAGCTTCTTTGTCTTGTATGGGCTGAAAAGAAGGGCTTGTTGTACTTCACGAACATTTTCAACCTCAATCTCAACCTCGCGCTCAGTCTCGCGTTCTTGCTCAATTTCCACTTCCTCTAGAGCTGATGCATGGACGGCCGAGCCTCGATCCTGAAAATGTTTCTTGCGGTTCACAAGCTCAGTGTAGATATTCTGTAGCGAAGGTTTCCATGCGATGGTGGCAGTGTTAGGACCAGCCCGCCGGTGACGCTCACCTTTTGGCTCGTATAGCTGTTTCAGGGAGAGTGCCTCTTTGATACGGACCGTTGGGAGATAAGCATCTCGTGATGAAACATCATGCAGGTATTCAGGATATTCCAACCGGGCTTGCTCTTGCTGCAGATACTGCGACGTCTGTGCAAAATAGGAGGGCTCGAGCTGTTCCATAGTGTCGCAGGTCTGGCCAAACACCCATCTAAGGACATCACCCGAAGTGGGTTGGTGAAACTCACTGGTGCCCTTTGGCAAGCGGTCCAGTATACCCTGATGGACTTCAACAGGAGAAAAGAACGTAATTGACTGGGTTTGACCGAGCAGTCGGAGTCTCATGGCAGCCTGTACCAACGTGTCCTTTGTCAAGTGTTGCCCGAGCGTCAAGGCGGCCCTCGCATGAGGTGGAAACTTGATGTCGGTACCTCTGCAGTGGCTCTCGTCTAAGTACACGACGCATCGATCCAGATCGTCGACGAATGGTGATGCGACGAGTGGTACGCATCTCCCTGTACGATACAATGCCCATACACGATGATCATCGTCAAAGTACACAGCTGCTGCGGCATCATGGTCGGCATCAAGCCAGGCTTTGGCGAAGTCTTTGTTCGAATGCTCGAGAACTTGAGCGCCGGCATCAATCAAGATTCGTATGCGTCCATCTTGGTTGAAGTTACTCAGGTTGTTCGGGAGATGATGAGTTTGGTGGGTACCATTCTTCCGAACATGCGTGTGGCGATTAGCGAGGTTCTTGAGCAGGTCCTTCTCGGTCCACCGCGCTCCATTCCCAAAGGTCATGCGTATGTACGATTGATTGCGAGGCGCCAGCAAATAGTAAGGAACTTCCGCATTGGTATGCGCTAATTGAGGAAGATCTTGCTGCTGCACTAGCAAGGGAAGCTGGTGCCTCGAATCGTTTGTACCAGAAAAGCCAGTGATACGTGCTCCCATGGTACCCTGGAAGGACGGGAAAAGGTTCCAGCCAGATGCCTGAAGCTTGAGGCTGAAGGTCTTCGCATATTTGGGAAACACAAAGTTGTTCAAGTAGAAGTCCATGAGGGAGGCGCTGAATCGCACGACCTGATAGAGATCGCTCAGTTGCCGCATGTCTTCGGCATTGATGGCGGCATAGTCATCTAGCTCTTTCGGGATGTCCACGCCCTTGGGAAACCACTTCTCGTACTGGATACTGGGTTCGTCCGTCTTGACTAGGTGGGCAAAAGCTTCCTTGAATTGAGAGCCAGTCAGGCCTTGATAATAGAATGACAGGCACGTCAAGGTGATTGCAACATCGGGATGCCCCCACTCAGCTGTAGGAGATGGTACACCCTTGGCTAGGTACGGCACCGCGATCGGTGCGCGTGTTGGATGCAGACCATATTGCACATTCCAGCGCTTGCGGAGGGTCGTTATCAAGATACGATGCACAAACATTCCACGAAGCAAATTGACAGCCCGCATCAAAGTTGGCTTGTCTCGGAAGAAGCTGGTGATCCTGGATGTTGTTTGACTGCGCACAGTTGGTTTCGAGATGTAGGCCTGTACGTCTCTGACGAGGGCTGCTGGGTACTCGGCACAAGGCAGTATTGACGGAGTCTGACCCTTGCAGATGATTCTGACCAACAGCTCGATCAAGTAATCCTCGGCGTCTTTGCGCAGGAAATAAATGAGAGGAAACCCGCTGCTGCCACGATTGACCACCTCGATGCTGCGAGGATAACGTGACTGGACATTTGAAGCAAAGTCCTTCACCAAGTGAAGACATGCCTGGATGACCTGCCAGCGCATCGGATGGCCGTCCACTGTGGTCTGCGTACCGGATGGATATATGAGTTGCGTCCTGATTGCCAACGAAACGTCGCATTCGTCCAGGACATCGCGGGTATATCGATCAAGCCAGCGCTGTGTGTCGATCATCATAGAGGCTGTTTCGAGGTTGTCGTCACAGAGCTGTTGTAGTCCACTCAGCTTGAACGAGAGCACATGCTCAGGCAACGCAATAAGCACGCCGCGACGATCTTTCAAGCGTGCGTGAATCTTTCCGTACAAACTCATCAACGCCTTGGTAGGAGGAGTCTTTCGAGAAAAGGGTATATGCATGAGCTCGCGATCGACTAACCCGCCTAGTTTGGCTTGCATCACTTGCGCTGACTGGAGCAAGGGAGCTCTTGGAACCACAACGCGAGCGAGATCGGTCCGATCAGCAAGAAGTGATGCTACCATGGCTGCCACAAGTCAGTTGAGGAAGGGTTAGATGATAACACTGATACTTACGAAGAATACAAGACGTCTTGCCTTTACCCATTAAAAGTTGCAGAACTGAGTTTTCGTTCGACTGCGGTGAGATTGTCGCTAGAGCAACTTGTACCTGCTCTTCCCGGATGAGAATGTCACCATCGATCTCCAGTAGTAGCCAGTCCGGATAGTCCACAGGATTCCAATTACTGTGGCCCTCATTCGCCCATTCATCCCGCTCTTGCTGAGTCTTCGCGCGCTTCCGGGCATCTTGGATGCGAAGTAGTCGTTGGAGTCTGCTTATAGCCACACCAAAAGCTATCATTGCCTCTTTTGTACCGGTGCCAAAAGTGGTGCTGGAACCGACCCGAAGCGCTGTGAGAAGCTCCACCGTCGTCAATCGGGGCCACGTATCCGCCAGCTGAAGCCATTTCGCCTGCGGATCATATTGTTGGAGAGCATTGCGGATCCGTTCAACTACCGATGTTGCTAAGTCTCTAGCCAATGCGATGTCATCTGCTGTGATCTGAGGATAGGTGCCATGAGTTGTATGCTGCACATACGAAATCCGCTTCTGGAGAGCATCGATGCTTGCGTCCATTTCTTTCGCATATCTGCATTGCACGAAAGAAGTGGGGTCTTTGAAGTTGGCTACGATGCTTCTCAGAACCCCAATCTCCCGCGGCTTCGAGCTAAGCAATTGAAGATGTGATGCTGTCTTCTTGCCTTGATACATACCCGTGGAATTGTGTGTCTTGACAGGATGATGCGCGATATTACCCGATCTGACAGCCAAGGCTCCGGCGTAGGAACCGAAAGCGAGAGAACGCACCTCTCCTGGCGCTTCAATGTTGACAATTGGAGCCTTCAATAGGTCCGAAAGCGAGAGATCATCGTGCTCCCTAGATCTTGTGGAATACAAGGGCAAAGGTAGCGGCTCCACGTTTGCAATTACCTTGACGTCTGAGCCAGTCTCCGTCCGGAAGAGTACCTCCTGTACCTGCTCTAGATATCGTGCCAATTCATGATTGCGCGCAAGGCGGGTCCATTCCGGAGCTACATCAGCCAGAGCCCGTTCGATGTCGAGGTATGTCGGATCAATCACGACCAATACTTCCGGGTCGAGGTCGGAAGTTGGCCACTGCTCCACCATTGAGCTGGCCAGTAACTTGCAGGCTTGATCGACACCGGGACCATGTAAGCTTTCGGCTTTCACTAGCTGTGAACGTTTCTTGAAGCCGGTCTCGGCGAACGGCATTCGTGCTTTCTCCATAAGCGATATCAGATAGGATACAGGAGGCGCTCCGTCCACTCGAAAATGAAAGTAGGCGGCATGTTTAGGGGCAGGTATGGCCCGTATATCTGGAATCATTGCGAAAGATATGAGGACACGCAGAAGCTTCAAGTCCGCATCTGAAGAGAACGCGATAGTTCCAAGAAGGAACATTAAGCCAAACTTGTCGTCGACACTACACTGTAGCGACCTCTGAGCAAGCGCACCCCACTCCGCTTTGATGTCGACAGCAAGGTGGTCGGTAAGTAGACATTTACGGTAGTATTTGTCATAACCGCCCACGACCGGAGCATCGTGAAGGAGCGCAACCAGTGTAGTGTCTAGTGAGCAAGTCGATCTCCAATCAAGGAGTAATTTTGACACCTCGAGCACATTCAAGCGATCTTGTGCAGCTTTCCGAGCATCGCGTGCGTTATAGGTGGTGTCCCAACGGCCATCTTTCTTCGTTTCGTGATCAACGGACCTTGCGACTGCTCGAGCAGCTAAGTGAACTATTTCCGGGTCTAGTTTTTCCGTCTCCTGAATGTTGCGGTCAAGGTAGAACTGGGACAGGTCGGAAGAAGTCTGAAGTATCTTAGCGACCGCTTTGGCATAGCGATCATCTTGCATGTGCACTGTGCATTCCGGACGCCACAGCACCGTCTCCATACACCTGGCGTCTGCAGGGTAATACCCTCGCTTCGGTGATAGTTCTGCAATGCAGTTCAACGTAGATACCTCGTCGCGTAGCAATGGGTTCCAAGGTTGATAGGCACTCGTTTGGAGGAGGTAGAGAGCCTCTTCTTTGCCCGTCCTCCGGGTCAGTGGATCGGCAATAGCATGTGATGTGTAGGCATGTAGTAAGGCTTTCATGTAGAGGAGGCGAGGTTCGGGAGCGCAGTCGACACGCCCCAAGACGTCGTTGATCGCGTACTTGAGATATACGCCTTGACCCATCTCTATATCAACGAGTACGTGGGGACCGTCTTTCGAAACTCGAATGCCTCCCCAAGGAATGAGTATGCTCTTCTGCCGACGGTTGGCAACAGATTGGACGACAATCTTGTTCATGAGGCCATACCAGGTCCCAGCATCTTGGTAAGGTGAAACGATGGCACCAAGTCGCAACGAGTGTAGAAAACCTTCTTGGTTGATGTGAAAGCTCAATTCCATTCGCTTCAACTCCACGGATATTCTTCCGTCAGCCGACGCAAATACCAAGATCTGGGAGGGGAATTCGAAGTGAGTAAATATCCGGGTGATGATCTTGACTAGGTCGCTTCCCGAGTCTAACAAAGTCGTCTGCGATGGCTCTCGGAACCGCCGAACAGCATTATAGAATCCAGATGGGGGGCAATGTATCCACCAATTCCCGAGCTTGACCGTCCAAGCGGTGTTTTGGCGGATCTCGACATGGCCACTGTAGACGTGCAGCCAGTGGTAGCAGTCTTCGACCAACGGTCTAGGAAGATCAGGTGTAGGGCCTTGCACCCCAAAAACATGGCTTGGGATGAATTCGAGCAGCTCGCCGCCTTGATCAGCCCGAATGATCAGCCTCTTGTTGCGGTAGCCCAAATGAATTCGATGGCCACGTATGGGCTCTGATAGTGCAAAATCCATGCCACGTAGAGGCGAAGGATACACAATTGGATTCTTATTGTCAAGGACGTGTCGATATGTGTCATCCATACGGTATGACTGAGGAAGTGTTCCCATCTCTTGTCCGTCGATGAGTAGGGTGCCATAGACATAGTCGTAATGTACAAAGTAGGAGTGCTGCTCAGCTATAGACTGTAGCGTATACGACAGGTACCAGGTGTCAGGAACGACTGCCAAACCGGGCTCGGTAGTGTCGTATTCTCCGGGCACATGCAATACGGCATCTAAGGCAGCTCTGAACGTCACTGTATTCCCCATGATGGCCTCTTTCATGGCATCGCGATGCTCGTAAGCAAATAGTGTGTCTTTTGCGATGGCGTTGCGCATATTGAATGGCATTTTGTCGAACCTTCCCGCCAAATTGTATCGCAGCGAGATCGAAGCGTCAAGATACATACGAAGACCCTGAGGGGCTCCCGACCAGTCGTCAATGTGCATTGTCTGCTTGCACAGGAGTGATGCCCATATAGCTGGCTGTAACACGTTCGGATCTTCCGTTACCATGGGCTGCAGCTCGCGACGCCAGCCGTCGGTGATCTTGCGGGCTTCATGGAGAAGTTCCCTTCCTTCGTTGCAGACTGATATGCTTGGGCTCAGTGAGGTCACCTTGAGTAGGATAGTGATGAGGATTTCCATCTGTATGGGCTCGCGCCAGTTTCGCCGGATCGCTTCCAGTCGATAGCGGACTTGCTGCAGGAGCTTGCTGCAAAGGCCATCATCCAACAGAGAGCGATGAGTGTCGGTATAATCGGTTTCGGCCGCACGGTCTGACCCTAGCTGAAGTACTAGACGCAAGACGAGCGACCATGTGGACTCGGACGAAAAGTTGAGATTGGTTGAGCCCAGCTCCCTGAGAAGGTCGAGCCACCTTGAATAAGTGCCGACCAAGAGACCTTGGAGTGCTGTAAACTCATGGACGCCAACGCCCTGAGGGCACCTAGCTTGGTTCGCCTGAATCTCGTTCGATGTCGGCCACAGAAAGTAATTGAGTCCAAGTGACACGAGTGGCGAGTTGAGAGGAAGCTTCACGGGAAAATGATGCCAGAAGGAAGCTTTACCGCATCTATCTGTCCATGCCTCACCAATACTGTCGTAGTACCTGGGCTTGAGGCCGCAAGTCCGGATGACCTCGTCTACTCCGATTGGAAAGCCCCAGTTTGCGTAATGACACTCTAAATGAGCCTTCTTGTACGAGCCAAGACTCACTCGACAGCTGGTTCTGTTGACGTATGGGCGAAGCTGTGAGTACTCCCGGACGAGCGACATCCGATCAAGTTTATCGGTCGGCTCGCGACAAAGAGTCGAAAGTATAAGCCAAGTTGCGTCTCGGTAGGCGGCGAATACTTCTGGGCACTGTAACTCGAATAGTGCTGCTTTGGCAGCCGGCTCATAGCTTGGTAATGGATGCTCGTAGATCTGGATCCTGATGCCCTTAGCTTCTTGGTTAAGGTTATGCCATTCGCAAGGAAGGCGATGACGTGACTCAGGCATGCCATCCCAGGCAACGAAAGCCTCCCAGATACACTCCTTCTCATTTCGCTTATCGATGGTTTGTGAATGGCGCTGGCTCTTCTCTTCCCATTCGATGTGCTTCGCGTCATAGGCAATGTCGGCTTTTGCCTCAATGTCTTCTCGCATTGCACACAGTTCGCCCTGATGGTCTTCCCGATCGTAATACTGTACAGCAAAGCAATCGTCGGCAGGATCGTCGAAGATAGTTCTGGACGGCACACTTGATCGTGCGCGAAAGCGAGCTTTCAAATACATGCGTACTTTTTGACTCCGGATCATCTCTTCGTGTGTAAGGAGCTGGATGGGATCCAATAAATCCGGATCGAACCCAGGATGGTATTCCTCGAGCAACGGGTAGCAAGTTACAGCATCCTTGTCCATGAGAACCCAAAGCTCCATGAGATGGAGCAACTGTTGGCTCTTTTGATTGGGATACGCCTGGTCTACGGCGTTGATGTTGGTGACGTATTCATGAATCACCTTACTCAACCGGATCGCTCGGAGGCCTTCTGGTTGCGTTGAACGCTTGGCAGGAAGTACAACATCCTCGAGAAGTCTTGACGAAGCGACATGGCTATCCAAAGCTCGCATGTAGGGTCTGACAGAAGCGACAGATCGCTCAAAAAGCTGCAGAAGCTCTGGAGCAGTTCGTTGTTGAGGTCGTGGAGAATGTGCGTGTTCCACTAGCACTCCTTTCAAAAATCTACCGCTGTTCATCAAACGAAGTTGGAACTCATGAGGATGGGCGTATTGGCGTAGCTTTGGGATGTAGCGTTCCCGTGACTGCCTATGGGTACGCCAGACTTGCTTCAAGTACCCACCGGTAGTTGCCAGTGAGGACTCAAAACTACCACCTAAGGACAGCACAAGATTGCGATACCTGTTGCAGGCGGACCTATCGGCACCATGAACATCGGATGTAAGCTTGGCGAGGCGACGACCCAGCTTCTGACGGAGTGAGAAGGCTGCATCAAGAGGTATCTTCTTCAACACATCTTCCAATAGCTGCGCATGCAGGAGACACATCACTGTCTTGTAGTGGAGTCTTCCGACCTCTGCACCCAAGTGGTGATACAAGTAACGCTGGACTGCAACTCGGAGAACCAGGTAGTAAGCGGATCTCCTCCATGGCGTTCGAGCATTGTCGAAGGTGACCGTGTCGCGCACTCGCTTTCGCAGACGTGGAACTGCAACTGCAGCGCCATTGGCCTCCAGTATAGTCATCAACAGGCCAGATATGAGAGCGGGATCACTGGTGTCTCGGATCTCGGGAATCGTGGCGGCTGCCTTCCAGGTGATAGCGGCAAACTTTGTGACCGACTCGCTGCTAGCTTGTTCGATGAAACTGGCGACAGCTTCCTGGAAAGCTTCTTCGTTGATAGTCGATGCTGGGACAGATACCGCGCAGCCGGGGACTACATGTAAGTTCAAGATCAGTAAATGTGCGACGCCGATGTATATGTCAGTCACTTACAGTCCCATTGTAGCGCGCCTTTGGCAGCCAGCACCTTGTCGGCTGTGGCGGATGTCTCAAATGCTTCGAAAATGATGTTGCGCTCGCCGGAAGTGTCGTGGGGATACACGAGCAAAGCGCAGTTCTGAGGTGCGATGTGCAGAACAAGCATTTTCCCATGGCTGAAGTCGCGAAGCTCTTTCATCAGCGCCGCCTTGCCGATGGTTCCGTCGACATTGAGTATTTGACACGCGAGCAATGTTTTCCGCAGTCCTTGGACGTGCGGAGCAACATCTGCAGCGACATGGGGGGTAAGCCTCGCAATGGCGTCAAGCATACGCTTCAAGAGAGCTTCCTCGACGCGATGCAGGTTGCTATCTTCGCGGCCAGGTACGTTGCGGGGCAGCGCTATATGGTAGTACTGCTGCTCAAGAAATGGCACTCGCGCGGCGGACGCCATGGCTGTTTCGAGTGCCTGCTGCAACGAGGCAGCGGGCGGGGGCAAGAACGAGTGTGGAAATTTGCAATACGACGGAAGTGCGGTATTGCGATGTTGCAAGAGTTGGCAGGTGGTGGTGTTGTCGAAAACGCGACTGCTTGATGAGGGCGCGGTACCAGGGTTGACTTAGGTGCCAAGCATTGTTTTGCTAGGCGGCAGCAACGCGTAGACGCCCTCCCCAACGATGAGCGATGAACGATGAATAGTGAGCCTTGCCAGAAGTCGTGGAACACCAAAGCGCAGTCTCGGACCAATCTCCTTGCCACCGGTGAACGAGTCTGCATGAGGAGACATGCCGGCCAGCGAATGGGTGACTGAGGCACTGTACGGCGCTACGAGAAACCCTCAGCCTCGCCTGTCCCCAGAAAAGAGACCATGGTGGAGATGGCGATTGAATTCCAGGATTAATAATGCTGCGCGCTTCTATTAGGCATGTCTTGACGTCCGCAATTGCCTCCTACTGTCCACGCATCAAACAAGTGGAGGATGCCTGGCGAAGGTGGGAGTAACAAAGAACGAAACTGTAATGCTTCCGAAAAGCGATAACGCAAAAAGAGAAGGAATGAGTCCAGATTGGCTGAGAGAAACGCCGCTCAAATGACAAGGATGATGGAGACGTGGCCTGCATCAAATGGAAAGAACGACCTACGTGTGTTAGTGTAGCATCACTACTGCTCTTCGACCTTGGAAGCTGTCTATCACCTTGAAGTGAAGGCAGGAGTTGTTTAGGTTGTTTTCAGCGGTCCAGACGACAACAGAATTGTCGATAGAGCTCATCCAGACGTTCCGACGCGCGTGCTGGTGAAGCGCGTGTTGTGACGCGACAAAAGTAGAAAGCGGCAGATTGGAGGCATGCTCTACTTCTCAGTGCATCAATGGTAGTTGAGCGCAAGTCTGTGGGAGCTTTGTGATGATGCATGATGAAGTTGTAGTCTCTATAGCTGAGAGAAGCCTGGTGGTGAGAGGTTTGACGACGCGTGAGGTACAATCGCATTTACCCGGCCCCTTGCCTAGCTCCACAGCTAGCAACATAGCGCCTTCCCCTCCCTTGTCTGCCTTTCGCATTTCCAGCGCATTTATCTCTCTGCTCCAATGACATCTTCTACATTTTCTGCGAACCCCCAATGAAGCCTTCGAACGACAGCGGCTAGCTCCAGCCGATCTCGCTGCCTCATGGAGGGCAAACTTCATCCATAATCGGCATATCGGCTGCAGCACCTGCCTGCCTCGGTTACTCTCTCCCCAGCTATCACCGCTATGCCTTGTGGGTTTATTCCCGCTAGATTAATCATCGCCACCATGAAGGCGGGAAAGTGCGAAAGGGCGCCCGCGACTAGCCCATCTCGAGCTCCAAGGCGCGATATTGGAGGTTGTGAATGAGTCTCTGCACGCATCACCACTAGCTGGCTCGATGCGCTTTCGTTCCTATTATTCATATACCAAATTTATGCTGCTAGAATAAGCAGCGGAAGCTCGTTCGTCGGTACGCATTCGCTATTGGTCGAGTCTAGGATCTCATCGGCGCCGTCATCAGCACTATGTCGCACAGCAACTTTACCCAAGACGCGGCCGCGGGAACGACACCAGGAACCCACGCACAGAACACCCCGCCGTCACCCAAGTCGTACACTTCAGACAAGTCCCGTGTAATCGAGGACGTCGAAATCGAAGAGGACCGCGCCTCCATATCCTCAGCGTCGACGCATTCCGATTCGATCAACTCGGCAGTAGATCAACGTCCGTCGATACATCATACATGGAGTAGGAATACAGGGCACTCGTGGCCTGGCGATAAGGAGGATGCGATCGCAACTGTCACAACGAACGCGACGCAAGACCCGCGCTTCGAAATCGACTTCGAGGATGGAGAAGACCCGGAAGACTGGCCCATGTTGAGGAAGGCTGTTGTCATCTTCTTCATGAGCTTCTCGACACTGGTCGTAGTTATGTACTCGACAAGTTATACAAGCGGCATACCGGGCATGATGGCAACATTTGGCATTCAGTCGAAGACGTTGGTGATCTTGGGGATAACAACCTACTTGTGCGGTCTGGCGATTGGATCACTGCTACTGGCACCGCTTAGTGAGATGTATGGCAGGAGACCAGTCTACCTTATCGCTGTCGCATCCTTCACCATCCTCGTCATACCGTGCGCTCTGTCGAACAACCTAGCTCAGATTCTCGTCATGCGCTTCTTCGGTGCCATCGCGGGCGCCGCTATGATTTCCAATGCACCAGGCACCGTCTCCGACATATCCAAGGAAGACTATCGCGCATTGGCTTTTTCGATATGGTCTTTAGGGCCAATGAACGGGCCTGTTTTTGGCCCTCTTATTGGTGGCTTTGTCTTCCAAGCTCTCGGCTGGCGGTGGACGAACTGGGTCGTCATGATCGGCTCTGGTGCATCCTGGTTCATGGTCTTTCTGATCCCAGAAACATACAAACCAGCAATTCTCCGCGCCAAGTCAGCCAAGAAGCGTAAAGAAACGTCCGACCCCCGATACTACTCTCGCTACGATGAGAAGAAGGCTTTCTGGCCTTTACTACGGGAGAACCTCTACCGGCCGCTTAGCATGGCGGTCAACGAACCCATCTGCATCTTCTGGGACGTATACATAGCATTGGTCTACGGAGTTTTGTATCTGTGCTTCGTCTCGTACCCTATCGTGTTCGGTGAGCTACGAGGTTGGTCGCCTGGACTCGTTGGACTGGGTTATATGGGTATTGGCATTGGCGGTGTCATCACGATAGCTTCGGAACCTCTGCTTCGCCGCATGATCAATAGTCATAAGAAGGATCCAGAGACTGGCAAGCCATACCCAGAGGCTATGGTCAGTGTGGTCGTCATTGCTGCGGTGTTGGTTCCTGTTGGCGAGATGATCTTTGCTTGGTATGTGTCCTTCCTCACCTGGATCTTGTTTATGCTAACACATGTGTAGGACATGCACACCCAACGTTCACTGGATTTTCCCCCTCATCGCCGGCATCCCCTTCGGCGCTGGAAACTGCGGCGTCTTCATCTACGCGTCAAACTACCTCGTTCACTCCTACGGCATCTACGCCGCGTCCGCTCTCGCTGGAAACGCCGTCCTACGATCCGCCATGGGTGGTGCTCTTCCCCTCGCAGGTCCAAAGATGTATCAAAGTCTTGGCCCGCATTGGAGTGCGACAATGCTGTCGCTGATCGAGTTTGCGCTCATACCCATCCCGGTAGTCTTTTACCTGTACGGACACAAGATCCGGGAAAAGAGCGCGTTGATCAGGCAGATGAGGGAGGACAGGGAGAGAGTAGATGCGAAGAAGAGGAAAGCTGCTGAGAGAATGGAGAGGGCTAAGGGTGGTGTGCTTGATGAGAAGAAGTTAGACGTTTGATAGACTTGCATGCATAAGGATCATTGATGCGCCGAATTAGACTATTGTTCACCAAGATGCATTTGCACGGCTGGTATGATGCCCTATGCTGTCTGACCAATGCGTTCAATGTCGTGATCATCAAAGCAATCCTCATCTACTCCAGTGACAATACTCCACGTCTCACTTCCATCCTGCTCTTCCCCCAGTATCACATATCCATCTTGCGAATCATCACTCCAGTCACTGAAATCGCTGCTCCAACCCTGGTCATCCTCGTCCAGCTTCTCTTCTACAACTCCCTCTCGCTGCGTCCGCCTCAGATCCTCATCCGCCTCCATTCTCCCCCTCAAATCCCCGCTAGCCCACTCAGCAAGACTACACCTCTGCACCTCCTCCGGCGCCGGAACCTCCCACTCCGTCCCCACCCCAAACTCCGCACAAGCACACTCCCGATCCAAAGTGCACCAACACGAACACGTACAAGACCCCCCACCCACCTCCGAGCATTCATATCCGCAGCCAAGGAACCAGCACCCAGACAAGTTCCTATGCCACTGCCAGGTATACTCGCCCCACCACCAGAAGCCTGGTATCACGGGTAGAGCGGGTTCGTTGCGGCTACGGCAGCGTTGTTTGAGTATTTTAGGAAGTGTGAGGATACAGGCTAGTGTGGCGTGGGCGCGAATCCCGGAGAGAGAGGTGGGAAGGGTTGTTTCGTGGGGTTTTGCGAAAGGCGCGGTGGGTATGGTGGCGCTGACGCGACCGGGTCGCCTGGTATCGCGCATGGTGTGTGGGAGGATGGCCAGCGGCGCGGGGCTCGTGGGCCCGCCATAGGTGTGTATGCGGTGTTCTTTGACGCGCCGCATCTCTGCGATGCGACGCCGGGCCCAGGTGCCAAAGTCCTCGCCTGTTATAATGTCTCCGGTGGCTGTGCCTTCGAAGACATGGGCATTCTTGCCAAAGAGTTCGTAGGCTTTTATGTCGTCCATGTGCTCCATGTCTACTTCATGCGCCCATCTGTCGTAGCAGTCGTCCTCCCATTCTCGAATGTCTGCCTGTTTGGACTCGTGCCGAAGCTGGTTCTCTCGTGCGAGGCGATATCGGTCGTTGCGACGACGCTTGTTGCCGCTGTAGATGCGCTCGGGGTATCTCTTTGATCGTTGGCGTACGCGACGGGCTGAGCGGACGTCTTTGAACGGGTGGTCTGATGTCCGGCCAGCGGCGTTCATCGCAGGTTCGGAAGGAAGGGTAAGAAAGCCGAAAGGCAGGTCCTCGTGTGTTTCTGGCAACTCGCCCATACAGGTTGTACACCAGTCGGCGGGATGGCCAGCCCATTCGAGCGTCTTCTGCTTCATCCTGACAGGTTCACGGTGAAGGGCTCCTGGAGCGACTTGCAAACGGAAGGCCTAGCTGTGTAAGTTATATGTGGGTTAGCCATCATTTGAGCAGTCTCTAATGACCGTGCAGGAGCCTGGATATGTCATCCTAAGGCGTTCTACTGCCTGCGCAGCTCCGCCCTCGCGCAATGGACGAGGGCGCATGCCGGTGCAGAAGGGCGGAAGTCGACGGCAATGTTGCCGCAGGATCCAGCGACGACGTTAGTCTGTAATCAATGTGTAATCTTCCATATTAGGCGCAAGCTTGTGAGATACTACTTTGTACAAGATCATAGTGGTGGGTGAGATGGGTGTGGAGAGGGACGGTGTGGTCACAAAGTTGGTGTTGGGCGCAGCTGCACTCAAGGCGCGTGGTAACTTACCACGCACCCGCAATCGACGGCTTTTGTGAAGTTGCCTAATTCGGACCCAACGCGAAACAGCATACGACCACAAACTCCTTAAGCTATCTCATTTCGAACGGCTGCAACGATGTAGATCCAATCGAAGTAAAAGATTCTCGATGATTGCAAACTATACAAGATGATCTACGTCCCGCAACTTTGACCCTAAAGCTTCCACTGCTTGCGGTCATACTGCTTAGGCCAAATCCCAGATTTGCCCGGCGCCAAGATGCCGTTGGGATCAACAGCATTCTTTATCGTCTCGTTGAAACGCCTAAAGACGTTGTTGTTGAACGAGTACGTCTCCATGATCTGATCCATGGCTGCAAGATGTGTCCGGTACTCTCCCCATCCTTGCTTAGCACAGTCATCGATCAGCGTTCTGAATAGCCATACGACTTTCTTCTTTTGTTCCTCGTCTTTGCGATTGAAAACAATGCACACAATGTGGTGCATTTCGCGCATGCCAATCGTGAATGTACCGATGAAGTCAAGGCCAGCTTCATGACACCGGGCTTTGGTGAGAGCGAATTGCTTGGTTGCGTCTTCGCCATTCACCCTAGAAATTGGCGAAAAGAAGAGATGAGAGCCATTTGGTAGCCAATCCAGCCATTTGAGCTCATCGTAGGTGGGTATACCTTGCATAGTCTTGTGGCGAGTATGCAAGATTGAGTTTGCCTCCTGTCGGTCTTCTGGGAAGTAGAACTTTGCTCCTGGGATGGCCGAGAAGGATTCTTTGACGACAGCCCACATTGCATCACGAATTGGCTGCGGCCCGTAGAGCGCACCATAGAAGTTCCACCGGCCAAGATTGAGCTTTTCAGCTATAGCGTCTAGCTCGGTATCTGTGAGGGGCTTGTTGATATCTGAGGTGTAATCGGATTTGTGACCCAACACAGCGGCGTCGAGGAGAATGTGTCGAATTGTTGGTACATTCTGGAGGACCATGTTCAATCTCAGCGGCCGGATGATGTCAACGGCCTGCTTCAAGTCGTCCTCACGAGGGATTGTGATGAGATATGACTGGTAACCACCTGGATTTGGCATGAGCCACATGCCCATCTTTGTAGCGATACCCAGATTGGATTGTGTGAAAATTCCGTCAACGTAGGGGCCGAAGCCGTAGTTGAACAGCTGTGCCGAGTCGTTCCAAGGTTGGTCTTGGGGAAGAACACCGGCCTTCTCATGAGGGTGAGGCAATGCACCCATACCAGTACGGATGAGCTCGCCACTCGGTAAGACGAGCTCTATGCCGCAATGCATCATGAAGTGATCTAGTGAAAACGTCAGACCGGAACTGACAAGCTTCAATGGGCAGGACTTACCACCATAAGGGGTGTAACCAACACCTCTCTCCATAGTGTTACCTAGAACTGAACCGCCACCAAGATCAGGTACGTCAAGCCAAAGCTTGTCGCGAAGGTTGTTCTCGACGAGATAGGTGTGTAGATCGTGAAATGTGACTCCTAAATACAGATCAACGTCGTGAACGGAGAGAGGCCTGAATTGGCGACTGACCTGGCTCGACTAGAGCGTAAGCACCCTCTACATTGACTTCGAGGATCTTGTTCATATATTTGCCCATGTTGACGACAACACTACCAGATACGCGTGGAGCGGCGCCTCCGTAGCCTGAGTTCCTCCCAATGCTAATGGGCCACAATGGTACATGGTACTCATTTGCGGCCTTGACGATAGTCTGAACATCGGCGACGTTGCGAGGGGCGATGATAGCCGAAGCAAGGAAGAAATCTTGCTTCATGATGTGATGAGGGTCGTGCGTGTAGTTCGGCTTCATGTAGTTGCCATCGTCAATCTGGGACGCGGAGGATATGACTTCGATGTTGTCGCGACCAACATCATGACAAGCTGTCAAGAAGTTGTCGAAGACATCGCTGCTGACGTTGGGTGGCAGCGCAAGTGATTTCGCGGTTGCGACCATAATGATATTGTAGGTAAAACTTGGCTAGTGCTCTGAGTAATGCGGACGCAAAGTAATAAGTTCGTGATCAAACCTTGGAAGTAATTACGTGAGGAAGCGTTGGAACCGCCTGAGGTTATAAAGTTCCATGCTATCAAATGCCGTGAGGTCAGTGGCAGATCCGACATGAGGGCGACCAATGTTCCCAAGGTCCAGTCGCATACAAGAAACACCATGGTGTCATACAAGTGGCATCTAGTCAGCCCATCTGGTTGCCACCCTGATGTATCTGGGGACGGTAGATGGCAGTTATTGTGATAGAACCCCGCATTAAGTGGGAGAAACCCGTCGTTGCCCCTAGCTGTGGGAATTTCCCGACGCTAACGCCATATCCGTACCGGACCGTACGCCGGGTCCCCGGATTCGCGTGACTGCATTTAGGGCTGTGAAGTTATCATGCAGCATCCCAAAAAAGCTGTTTCCTTATTCGAAACCGCAGCGCATATCATTTGCGACCTCTACGTTGCCGTCCCCTTATTCGGCACAGTGGTACATCCGGTGTGGTAATCTCGTATTGGTGGTCATTGCTGGGAGTCAGATCCCCCCGGCGCCGATAGGACGGCTATCTCCCACAGCAGCCGCCACCACACCCAGAGTCAAAACCCAAACAACCCCGCGAACACTTCAATATTGTGGGGGCGGGGAAAAGACGGATTTCCTGGGGTATTGACCTAACCCAAATGATGATGGACCTGCGCATGTCTGTTGTATTCATACCTAGGTAGACACACTACTACTATTACCTAGGTACTACTGCGTCTGTTCCAGCTCAAGCTGATCTTGTTCATAAACACACACTCAATCAAACATCACAATACACCGAAATCTTCTCATTCGGAACAATGCTTGTTACTTTGGCTGTCGCACCTTTCTATGTCGTTCTTCTAGCAGTCATTACATCGTATTGGATCATCTGGACTGTGTACTCGCGCTTCTTTCATCCTCTATCGAAATATCCTGGTCCGTTTCTCGCCTCGATATCGCGGCTATGGATCGTACTACAAGTCGCTGGAGCACACGCGGAGGAAACACAGAGAGAGTTGCATGCCAAATACGGTACCAACACCGCGCGATGCAGTCTGGTATTCTTCTGCTAACAGTCCAAGGTCCGATCATCCGCATTGCACCAAACGAGGTCGCTATCGCTGATCCCACTGCAATCAAGACCATCTACTCTATCTCTTCCGGTTTCACAAAGGTGTGTATTATCTACCCGTCGGGTCAGGAACCATGATGATGAAAAGCCTCAACAACTAATCCAGTTCTCCAGACTGACTTTTACCCGTTATTCCGTCCTTCCTTTGCCAGATACCCTGATCTCTTTACCAATCTGGATGAGAAATCTCACGCTAGCCGGCGTAAGATCGTGAATAATCTATATTCCATGTCCAACATTGTCCGCTCGGAGGCGAATATCGACAATTGTACCAAGACTCTCATGGAGAAATTTCATGAGATCGCGGTGAAGGGAGATGCCATCGATGTGTCCACGTGGGTACAGTGGTATGTTTCCTTCCAGCACTATGCATCCGCATAAATACAGCTTCCAATGCGCGTACTTATTATGCTCACATGTCATAGGTACGCATTTGATGTCATAGGCGAACTCTTCTTCAGTCGCATGTTCGGTTTCATGGCGCAAGCCGCTGACTATCGCGGCTACATTACAGCCCTTGACTGCCTCCTCCCGATGCTGACAACAGCGTGCGTCATGCCCTCCTACATCCGGCCGGTTTTCTTGACAGGCGGTGCGATCTTCCCGCGCATTCTCAAAGCCCTCATGAGCCTCAAGAATGTTGAAACAGCAGCGAAGGATGCTGTCGCTGAGCGATCCGCACTGATGAAGAAGGGAGAGGCCGACGGAAAGGACGACATTATGAACAGTCTGTTTGAAGTCATGGAGACTAAAGGCGAGAAGGTTGATTTTGGCCTCACTGAGATCACAGTAGAGGTCTACGTTGCGCTGTAAGTCTAATAGTACCTGAGCATCTCGTCGGAAACAGGGCTGTTGTACTGACCTTTCTGTTGCTTCTAGTTTCGCAGGATCAGACACCACCGCGGCAGCCATTTCGTCTATCTTATATCACCTCATGCGCTCGCCTAGCGCGTACGAGAAACTGACACTAGAGATTGACAACGCCTCAGCATCTGGCCAGCTCTCTTATCCGCTCATCAGATACAATGAAGCTATCAAGCTCCCATACCTGGACGCATGCTGCAAAGAAGCGATGCGTCTTCACCCAAGCGTTGCTTTGACAGTGCCACGCAATGTTCCGGCTGGTGGCTGCCAAATATCTGGGGACTTCTTTCCTGCAGGAACAAGGGTAGGCATCAACGCCGCCGTGATACACCGTGATCAAAACATCTTTGGGCCCGACGCGGATGACTTCGTTCCTGAGCGATGGCTCCGTGCAGACACCACGATTATGGATAGGCATATGTTCCAATTTGGCGGAGGAGCCCGGACTTGTGTGGGGAAGAATGTACGTATCTGGCCCCAATCACAAGTGCCACCACTGATACTCCTGAGAAGATCTCCCTTTGTGAAATGTACAAAATCGTACCACAAATTCTCCGTACTTACCATCTCTCACTCGTCGATGGCGCGCAGGATTGGGAGACACATAATTATTGGTTCCACAAAACGAGTGGTGTGAATACGAAAGTGCAAGTACGCAACGTGGATGAGGTTATATCCAAGATGCAAGGGTAGCAACCAAAGGTGGATTTTGATTCGAGAAGACGGTCGCATGAGTCCTATAGGTCCTTAAACACTTTCAATAATCCCATGTGCTGTTAAAATCTCTTTCCAAAGTAATGTTCATGTTTCGATCACTCTACTTGTACGCTATCAGCCTCTAGCTAACCGTGCTGTATTGTGTCGCTATCCATACCCTCGGCGCGCCGAGCCCCACAATCATTTACATCCAATCGCGAGCAGGCTGCGGGGGCCGTGCACCTCATACTTATCCCCATATATATACCGTTGCTTGCAACACCAAGTCGATGAATTCAGACTACGTGTCGCTATCCATAATCGAGACAATGGTTCCACTCCTCAACTCGGTGATCAGCCTTCGTGCCTCGATCATATCGCCATAGCCAACACTACCAGCGGTTTCCTCAATCCTCCTACTTCGGTTATCATTCCACGTGTATATCTTCTTCAGTGTCGAGTATGCGATCAGCCAGTATTCAGGTGCGTATCTCATAAACCCAATGCGCTGCCACATTGTCGACGAATCACTTTCCCTCCCCAAGAGATCCACCAACTCCGCATCTCTAGTTTCCGACGGCCATGATTGCTGCCAATTCCGCAATCCATTGGTGATTGGCGCCATGCGTACCAGATCTAGCGCAGTAACTGCGCAGTGTTCAAGGCCGTATACCTGCAAATACAGTGCGTGGATGATTGTGAACATGTTGAGAACGCTCAGGTGAGCAAAGGCGCGATGGATAGTTGGCTTTGCCATGATCGCATTATCACACAGTGCGTTGACGGCGGACAAGATGGTGAGGTTTGTCGCATCGACACCCACTCTTTTGCGCCAGACCTTAAGTTCGATGAAGCACTCTTCTTTTGAAGAAGCTTGAAAACAGGATTCTGGGGACGACATCTCGATAACCAATTCGGACAGAGCCATGCGGGGCACATGGCGGAAGAACAGGGCGTAACTTGCGTCGATATTGCAGATATATGAACAGATGCTATTAAATCCAGTCAGCATTAGAATGTCATGTGCTAGGTCAACCCATACCGAATGAGTGACTCCCGGAGAATATACTCCTCCCAGTCGAAATCAGCTGGATGGGATGTATCGACTCGCTTGAGTGATGCTTGATCTAGTCCTATGTCTCGTGCTAGCTGAATCATCATCAGTAGGTCGTCGATCATTGATCGAAAATACTGACACAAACGAGGTCATTGAATCGTTGCTGCAGAACGCGTTTTTTACTCTGCTTACTTCCTTCCCACGTTTGATACAGACAGACACAGTAAGCAGCCTGGAGAACCTGCAAATGTGTGCTCCGACGTTGGGTGGTCGTTGTATCTCGCCATGCGTTCGAAATGTCGTGATCATGGAAAGCATCATCACTGAAAACGAGGTCTTCGACCAAGTCCAACCAGACCTGGGCTGAGGCATGATCGCGCTCTTCTGGCGACAAGCAGGCACCAACAAGAACCATTACAGCAATCAACTCTGGTGACTTCTCTTTCATTTTGAAAGTCGGCGCATGTATTGTGGGCCAGTTAGGATACCAGCAAGACCAGAAGAGTGCCAGGAATCTTTGTAGATTTTTCGGATTGAAGAATGCGTAACATAGAGCTTCCACGAGAGGTGACCAGATGATATCAGCGGAACCGTGGTGATGCTGATTTATCGCTGTCTCTCGGATTTGATGGACGATCTTGTATGTGACGGGCAGTAACACGACTGCATCAGCTATGTTCTCATTGTTTTCCACCAGTGCATTTCGGGTAATGTCAATCCAGTGCGTCGCCGCATCCGATATTCCTTCTCTCAGAGTTGAAAGATTCTCACCCGGGTTCGCCTTGAGTGGGTCTGATGTGATTGAGAGTCTCTGCTGCTTGGTGCCACACCCAAATGATCCGACAAATCCAGTCGCCTTGGTGAAATTGTCGAGGAAGGGGAACTGGATCAACACGTTGATGTTCAGTTGTGTTGGGCGTTGGCAAAATGGGGCCATGATTCCGTGTTCAATTAACAGTGAACTAGGGCTAGTCCAGGAGCTAAGTTGAATGCGAGAATCAGGATTGAGCTGGGAAGATAGTAGCGTTGATCCTATCCCATGATCGAAGTCGGCCATGGGGGAGTCCGAATGGTCGTTGGCGTCGTCCAAAGTCTGGAATACTGACTCATATACGTGCATATCGAACTCGCTGTCAATGTCGCCGCGAGGTGCTACTAGGTCGTCACCGACATGGCACTCCACTGTGCCGTTAGTCTCCGTGTTGAAAGCATCGATATCATCGATGAAGGAATTAGCGTTGTCTGCCTGATCAAGTCTACTCTCTTGCGGTCGACTATACTTGCAGACTTGATTTCGTGAAGCACATGGCGCGCATGGTTGTGAGGAAGTACAAGCTCTCTTCAACTGACGGCATTGGTCGCAGGCACGGATTTTGCGTCCTCTTGCTTTGGTCTTAACCGTCGGAATGGAAAGGTTGCGAGCCCTTCGAACACCACACGAGTTCCAGTGTCGTTTCAATGCATCGCTGGGTTCATAAGTTAGGAATCGGTTGCCGCGGCTCGGCGATTTTATGTCCACTCTGTCGAGGGAGGAGCGTACCTTCTGGCAAATCTACGGAAGCAAAAGATGCAGACGCTAGACCTCTTTGTGCTTTCCATGTCGACGCTGCAGGGGATTGAGTGGATACTGCAGAAAAGTGATAGCGCTCGCTGCATTTGAACGCATTCTTGAACGCCAAAGGGAGGGGACCTCGGGAAGGAGCGGAATGCGGGGGATCTACGCGCTACAGTGCCTGTGCGCGTGACGAGCCAAGTCGCGTGACGACCTCGGGATGCCGTGGCTAGCTTTGACTAGGTACACATGGCCCCGAAGTCCATGGACGATTCCAGGGGCGTTGATGCAGGAAATGAAGACGATGCTTGAGCTTAGCTAGGTGCATATCTCCGAAGCGCCCAGGGCTGTCAGCCTACCTGCCACCCGCTGCCGCTGCCGCTCCTTTCACCACCTGTGCAGCCTTTCCACGGCCACAGCAGAGGATGACCGCGAGGAAACAGCCGTCGCGATATATTTCGAGTGTCGCACCTGGCTGAAGCGGCTCATGCGACGTTCGAATGGAAGCAATGTGTGTCTTGCGCAGTGCTGTGACATCTGCCGAAGAATGATCGACTCGGCTTTGCGATGACGTCATGCTCGCCTTGCACTGATTGATGATGCCAATACGCCCGTGAGATGTATTCCCGCTCGCATACTCCGATATATCTCCTGTATAACCAATTCGAACGAAACCAGGAGCAGTAAAGTTTGAAATATTGGGATTCATTCACGATGACCTCAAACATCTCGTCCACAGTCCCCCTCTGGATCGACAACAAGCCCATCCACACGCAAACCACCATTCCCGTGACCCAAGCCAGCACCTCCAAAACCATCCACCACGCCTCCTCTGCCTCCAGCACCGAAGCAACCCAAGCGGCCGCATCCTCTTTCTCTGCCTTCAAATCTTGGCGCTCCACCTCCCACACAACCCGTCGCAACCTCCTCCAAAGCGTAGCCACCCACTACGCTGACAATGCCTCTACGCTCATCGCCGCGCAAATCGCCGAAACCTCCTGCACAGAAGCCTGGGCGCGTACAAACGTAAACCTCTCCATCTCGTACCTCAACGAAATCGCCGCGCAGATAAGCAGCGTGACAGGCGTTATTCCCCCGACTGAGAAACCCAGCACACAGGGTTTCGTGTTTAAAGAACCCATCGGACCGGTCTTATGCATCGCGCCCTGGAACGCGGCACTCGTTCTCGCTACGAGAGGAATAGCAAGTGCGATAGCGGTAGGTTGCACTGTAGTCTTCAAAGCGAGTGAACTCTGCCCCCAAACCCACGGACTCATCACGCAAGCTTTCGCTGAGAGTGGATGTCCAGATGGCCTGTTGAACCAGGTGCAATGTGGGCGGAAAGATGCGGCGGAGGTGACCGAGACGTTGATAGCGCATGATGCGATTCGCAAGATTGAATTTATCGGCAGCGCGGAGGTGGGGAAGAAGATCATGGGGATCGCGGCAAAGTATCTCAAACCGGTTCTGATGGAACTAGGGGGGAAGTGCCCGGTGATTGTGCTTGAAGATGCGGATTTGGAGGAGGCGGCGAAGCAGTGTGGGATGGGTGCTGTGTTGAACCATGGGCAGATTTGCTTTAGTACTGAGAGGATTATTGTGATGGAGGGGGTGGCGGAGAGGTTCAAGACGTTGCTTGTCGAGACTATGAAAGGGGTGGAGGGGCCGGCTGGGTCCGCGGTGTCGGAGGGTATTAAGAAACATGCTGAGGATGTTATAAGGGATGCACATGAGAAGGGCGACGAGATACTTGTTGGTGGTGTTGAAGCTGCTTCTTCTGGGGGTGGGGTTGCGCTCAAACCCACGATTATTGTCAATCCCTCGCCTTCATCTCGTATCCTCGACGAAGAGACGTTCGGCCCTTCCGCTTCGCTTTACGTCGTTTCTTCAGATGAAGAAGCTGTCGCGTTGGCGAATCGCTCAGCATATGGTCTCAACGCTACGGTTTGGACGCGCGATATGGCTCGTTTCATGAAGATGTCGCGGGAACTGGAATATGGTCAAGTTCATGCCAACAGCATTTCAGTGTACACATCGCCTACTGGAAGTCAAGGCGGCGTCAAAGGAAGTGGGTTTGGGCGACAGAACGGGCAGTGGGGGCTAGACGAGTTTGTTGTCGAGAAGTTTGTCACTTGGTGTGGGTGAAGTGGAAGGCCTTGACATTGTTCAAGAAAGACGACGCATTCAGAAACACAGCAAGTTTGATTTCAGTGTTTTATTGTTTCGGGTGATGACCACGTCGTACTCTAATATACGGAAAAGTCCAACACACCCCAAGTATTAGTACCAATAGGCAGATTATTATTCCCTTCAATTCTTCCTCCTCAACCCAGAACGTGGACAAAAACCAATGGCCCTTACCAAGTAAAAGTCATCAACTGGGGGTTGAGTACAATTGGCAACAAAAAGTGGAAGACAACCACGGTGCCCATAGGCCAAACGGCAATGAGCTCCTTGATCCTCCAGTCCTCTTGCAGACCAAAAGCCATTGTAATCATAATCGCAGTCATACCAATGCAGAACATGAAGCTCCACTTGAACTTCCTCAGCACCCTGCTGATGGCGACGAAGAAACTGACTTGTTCGGTTTCCTTGGAAGTGGAACCCCACTCGAGAGGCCAGCTGACGAAATGCGCGAGGAGAGCTTGCGAGACATGTAGAGAGACGCCGCCGAGGAAGATGCTGAGGAGAGGGATCCATTTGATGTTCGTCCAGAGGCCGCCGAAAAAGGAACCCTCGCCGATGCGGTAGCGGAGGACGGCGAGAGCGATGTTACCGAGGACACTGAAGACGATGATGATGGCGAAGTAGACTGATGAGTGTTAGTGATGCGCAAGAAGAACAATAACGTAATGCTTACCGCGGAAGGAGTTGATGTAATAATGGTCTAGCCATCCGTTGAAGAAACCGATCAAGAAGTAATTGAGCATGGTGAGAGCCCACGAGCAGCCGAGAGCGTAGTAGGTACCGATGTAAGCCATGATGGTGACTTTAGATGCGAGAGGCATGTTGGAACTGATATCATCGAGTTAGTTGACGGACAAATAAGACGACACGATCTTCGAAGATCTACTTACAAGATAAAAGTGCGGAAGAGCTTGGTGAAAGGACCTCGGGTGAACCAGTAGATCAAAGGGTTGAAGATGAGCTCGTTGCAGCCATATGCATACCTAGAGAATGTGAGTTAGCAGTCGTAAGAGAGAAAGACGTTGACAAGGGCAAGCATACTTCTCCCAACGGGCAAGCTCATCATATACGGTAAGCGATACACCCTCCTTGAAGCCTTCACCCTGGTATGAGGCCAATCGAATGATGTAACCAGCACTCTGCAGCCGCAGACTCATATCGAAATCCTCAGACACCGTCTCCTCGGACCAAAATTTGTCGAACGTCTGGTCTCCTTCTGTGACCTCGTAAGCCACCTTCTGAAGTGCCTCCCATCTCAGGATAGCGTTGTGGCCGACGAAAGGCGCGACGTCTCCACCAGCGACAGCAAATCGGATCATGGTGTAGATCATGTTGGTGAAGAAGGTGATGCCGTTTTCGAAGAAGCTGTTGGTGACGTTCATG